GAAGGGAAGGTGAGTTCAATAGAATCTGTTAAACCTTTACATAATAATCAAATTCATTTACACAATAAAGGATTATTGATACCATAAAAGCTCTCACTAACATCAGTCTACAATCATGTAATTGCCTTTCTTCAGGTTCGGATGGTTGTTTGTTTGAATCCTAATGCCGAAGATTATGATGAGAGTGTGGTAAGATGTCAAATTCTTATGTATGTACTGTAGATAGATGTGTTCTATCCACAAATTATAAAACATTGAGGTACAGTGGAAATGATGTATTGTATGCTTCTTTTATTGACTTAGCATGTGATGAAATTTGCCGAGGTGACACAAGATGTTGTTATAGCCAGACCTCAATCAGTCAGGTAACATTAGCAAATAACTTATTTTCAAAATTGTTTTCAGTTTAGGTACAACAAAAGGTAATTATTTTTCAAGCTTTTATCATGAGGTTGCCAAGGCTTGAAACTAGTCTGCCTCTGCCAGTGCACCAGGACACAGGTGGACCTACGCCATACTGTGATGTTAAAAATCTGCACTTAGCAATGCAACCATTGATTTGCCTTTTGGTCACATCAAAGGTGTAACTGATTCAGAAACTAGACAGTGCCCACCCATAACTAATTTTTTCTTAAATGTAAATAGATTTGACACTGGACTGACACCTGGGAGAAGGAGAGGTATTTGAATGTTTTTTTTTCTTTTTAATATTGGATGTTTAATGTTTGAAGTTGTGATACAACATTTGGGTAAATCATTACCATTGACAACTGCCTGAAGATCTAACTGGTATTCCTCTCCCAACATTCTTGCATTAGAACCTTTTTAATGAAGTCCCTGTGTAATGTACATTCTATATTTGTCATAACTGGTCTTGTTTTGTCTTTGTCTTTTATAGCAAATCAAATGTACAAGGAAGTTCTTGCACATGTTGAGGATAATAAAGGTACACAATGCTTGGATTGTACAGAGACCTGATGTCTAGTGTGTGAACTGCAGCAGGGAACAAGGAAATGTTGAAGAACAACTATAGGCGAATCTTTGCTGACGTCGTTGTTTACATTTTTCCTCATTAACATACAACTTTGCGCCTAGAAGGCGTCATGCTAGACACGATTTTACTAGAGAAACTTAAAGAGCTTGTGAAACTTAGTAAGTGGTGACATTTTTGGCTCTTTGGGTGCAATATTCGAGGAGAAATTGGCTTTCAAAAACATCAAAATTTCTGTGTAGCGCTAATGAGCTCATACATTCTTTGTAAAATTTTGAGCTTTCAAACCCGCGTCGCACAAAAAGTATTCAATACATCGCGCTCAAATTCCTTGGGACAGTGAATCGTGCTGTGCCCTTTCAATATTGAGTATTAATCTCTTTGTAGCTCCATCAGCAACTGTATCGCTTATGGTAATGAGGCAAATATTGTAAATAAAGATTCTCCTATAGCTGGGGCAGGAAAAAAAACAGGTCCAACTGCGCGGGGCAAGTAAATTTTGCTCCTAGGTCAATGGGAAAGTGAAAGTGGATGTTTAGTGGTCCAGTGGGCGAGTGAAATTAGCCTCAGTAGTCTTGTTAGTTGATAAGGCATGAACATTGTGCACCTGTTGGGCAAGGAATATTTTAGTGGGGGCAACTGAAAACTGAAATGTACTGACCCTCTGGGCAACTGGATTTCAATTTTTTTTTCCTGCCCTGGTAGTGTAATAAATTATGTGTACATACAGGTTTCATGAACGTTTTAGCAGGAGAGCAAGATCCTGTAAACTTTTTCACCTGGGTAGCATAGGCCACAATCAGAGAAAGTCAACTTTAATTCTCTTAGCTTTGCCTAACGTTGAATTCACAACATGGAGCATGTATGCCTTTTACAGAAAGGACACTTGAAACTACCAACTCTTGACATTTTTTGTGCATTTTTTGACGACTATCGAATGAGTGTAAAATACCAATTCCTTTGTCTATACGGAGATTCTTCGTTACATGTACATTATCACTGGATTTATTATACATTTCGTAGATAACGGTGAAACAGTGATCATAGCCAAACCTCTTCAAACCATGGGACCACCTTTCCCAGTTATGGAGGTAAGGTGCATTTTTTGCTGTCATCTTAATTTTTACTTACAGGGTCATTAGTTCAGTCATTTAACACAGAACTCAAGCATGTCACGGAGTCAAGCAATCTTAAATGTCGTAGCAGCATCCAGTCCATTTTCAACTTATCGTACTGTAACAAGGTTGACAAGGTAGACATGTTACCATCCTGGTCCAGTCTCCCAGAATGTACATGTACCTGCTGGGACTGTTTTCTCTCTTGTCACCTGCAGTCTTCCTAGCATGTAGATTCCTCTTGACCTGAATCTATGTGAGTAGCAGCAAGATTAAGTGAACTAGTGAACAATGATAAAATCTGGGCAAGACCACATGTTCATGTACTCCTCGCTGATAAATGTTTGTGTTGTGAACCGCTACAAGGTGATGCAGCTGTAACATAACAGGTGATTAATGCTCTGTTTTCTTTCAGATAAATTCACCAGAAGATAACACAACGCTAGTAAACTTGATTTATTTTCTTCAAGAGAGACAAAGACGGCGACAAACTCTCATTGATGATTTGTCGAGGAAAGGTAAGTTGTTACGATGTTTAGAAAATAACTGGGTTCTTAACCATTGAATGTGTTAAAATCAATCCTTGATGACTACGCCATTTGCGGTCTGTCCATTTTCTTAGGACAAAAGCAAAACTTGCCACAATGATTTTTCTTTTCTGCCTGGGCACTTCTCATACATATTTATTATTAATTTTGTTTTGTTTTGTATCACTTCTTTTTGCAGAGGGAATTTTTAGGGCTCAACTCTTGGAATTAGAAAAAGAAAACAGCCAAGCAAATGGAGTGAGTAGATTTACATCTACATGTGTCCTGTTGGTCTGTTCTGATGAGGCAAAAATATATATTTATATTTAGCGTTGCCAAAAAAGCGCACCAAACCAATGTAGAAATAAAAGCGTTTGTTGGAGTGATAGATTGCTGTGAAGTCTGTAAATATTTTTAGTTCGCTTGCCAACCTTTCAACCAGCTCTGGTCCCTTGCTCATTTTAAACAATTTCCCTGCCATTGGTTACTTGACAGTTGATCTCGTATGGTGCATCGCTTTACATTGTAAAACCGCTGCCTCTGCTGCTTCTATTGAAGGAAATCCAAATTCATTTTTAATCGATTACACATTAGTTGGGTAAAAACGAGTGAGGATATTTATGTACTCAATGGGCGTGTCTGACTAACTTGTCTTTTTATTCTTACTGTAGATAATGTAGTGTAATCACGTGCTACCAATGCAGAAGCTATTTGCCAGGCTCGGATGAAATGTTCAGCACAATAACTCTTTTCTTTTTCCTTTAGATTATTGCTAACCTTAAGACAACAATCGAGGAAAAAGACAGGTACAAAGCCCTTCATTAACCGCAATAATTTTTATTTCTGTCTTTGTTTCGTGCAAATCCTTGATGTTGAACAAGGATAGTTAAGGCAGAATCTTATACCTCTTGAGAATGACAGACCATGTGCTTCCTGGAATTTTTCACATTTATCTTTGTTGCGTGCAAACCATTGATATTGAACAAGGATAGTCAAAACCGAATCTTATACCTCTTGAGAATGAAAAACCATGTGCTTCCCACTTGACAGAGATATTCAGAAACTGGAAAGAAGACTGAAGGCTATAACGCAAAAGGTAATGCCGCGTTTTGTATGTGTACATGTACTTTGTTTGAATGTTCTGTCCTTAGTCGAGAAGAAACGATAACACGTCAGTTTACCTTGGGAATATTTCTTTTCAGAATGAGATGCTTCAGAAGACTGCAGAGATGTACGAGCAGGATAAAAAAGAACTGCAATATGAGGTATGAAAACCTACTGACTATTTTCACAGACTACAATAACAGGCCGAAAACGAAGCCACGTTCTATACAGCAATACTTGAGAGTCACTGAGGGTAATCGTGGCGCCTCTGTTACTCATGCGATCACTGGGTAAACGATATTCCCAAGACAGTTACAAATCCACTCTAGCTTGCGTAAAGAGGTTGTACAGGTGTAGGTTATATTCCGTGGTTATTTTTTATCTTAATTTTGTTGACTGTCTAATCCTGACTTCTTATTCCCTTTGTAGTTGGATGATCAGAAGAAAAGAGCTGATAAGGAGAAAACCGACAAAGTTAAAATGCGCCAGGTCAGTTTTCCTTTTCCTTTTTCTTTTCTTTTTTTTAAACAAAACTTTCAAAGTTCTTCTTCGGCCCGAAATGATTAGCTGTGTAGTAACGAAAGTGTTTTTCTTTTGATACGTTTTGCAATGCGCGTGAGGTTCGAGACTTTTTGTAGTGTTACGTTCGTGAGTGGGACGCGTCAAGCAGACTTACTTTAATCGGTACCCTTTATAGGAAATCAAGTTTAGCTTTAGAAATTTTGACATCAAAGAAATACTGTTCGCCGGCTTTGATTTTACTTATATTTCAGGCTTTAAAAGGAGTAGTGACACAAGAAAAAGGCAAATGGGAACGAGAATGCGTAAGTCGAATAGTCCAGTATTTATTACTTTCTTTGTGTTGGTTTTTTTTCTTGTTTTTCTTTCCTGTTTTCTTTGTTGTTTTTGTCAATGGGGGTGACTAGATTTTAGATTATCTTAGAGGAATTAGCACTTAAATTGTTGCGGATGCTACTCCAAAAGACTCGATTCATTTTCATTCTTATTTTCATTCTAACTACTATTCAAAGTCTTCCAAACTGCATACCAAAACGTTTCATAACCTTGTCCTTACTTAGTCAAAACGCGTTAAGGACAAGGAGATGGAGATGCAAGCTAAAATGTGGCAAAAGGATGAGAAGCTAAGACAACTCAAGGAGATCGTACAGGTATGTTCATCAAAGTGCAATTTGTCAAGTCTTTTCATCGCCTTTTGCACCTGTTCTTCTCTTCCATGCCTTTTGTCATCATAACTTTTCGAACGCTGGTCACAAGGCCAGGAAAATCCTTCGCCATTCTTCAGATCCTTTCGACGACTTAATATGCTCCCATCTTTTCCCATCTCCCCCTCCCCCCCGCAACACCTCCCTCTCTCCACCTTGTGACACAGATGGGAAAGTAGCTTACACGGTAGACTCCATCCCTCTGCTCTTCTCGAGTTTCGAGACAAACCCTTGAAGATATTTGCTAGAAATTTGTTTTCTGTCCTCAGAGCATGCAGACCAATGACGCAAGGACTGTAACTCGTGCCCAGGCTAGGGCTGCGGCAATGTCTAGGTCCAAGTCTCCCCCGCCGCCTGTGGCCAGAAAGGTAATTTGGTATTTCAAGTAGACTCTTTTTCCTGAAGGAATGCCAAAGGCTCTTTTTTTAATATATTGAATTACGCAACTCTATTTTTCAGCCTCCTATTAAATCTCGCCACAGACGATCCAAGTCATCAGATTGCTGGATAGAGCACAAACCCTCGACGCATTTGGAAACAGGTATTGCTACTGGAAATGCGGAGTAATAGTTCTATCAATTCTGTACATGTTTTTTGCGGTTGAATAAATGGTTTAGCTTAGGGTACTGCTGCATAGAACGGCTAATTGGAGACTGATGTTTCTTCAACCTGAGAGCTGGAAGTCATATTCAGAGTTGACAGAAACGTTAACAACCAATACGAATGCCGCTAAAAGCAGCTAAAACAATAATACATCATGTGTCTTTGAAAACAAGGTTTGTAATACTTCTCCAAACTTATATCGTTCTTTGGTGACGCCTCTATGTTATTTATGATAGTTCATGTATTTACCTCCGCTTTATGTTATTCCTAATCTTCCTTTTGTTCGTTGCAGATACGGTTCTTAAACCGCAAATTAAGAACAAGAAAACAGTAAGCAGACCCGCGGAAAAGGATTTCAAAGCAACTAACGTGAGCGCACACGATGTTCTTTTTATCTACCTAAACGTCACGACTTTAAAAATTTTAAAACTCCTAGTAGACGAGGCAGTTTTCATTGCCGCAACTTGCCTTTGCTCACGCGAGACAAGTTGTGAAACGAGTGTTACACGCTGTAATATAATGATGCAGTGTTGAGAAGAGAACGAGATGGTTGAACTTATGCCTCAAAGTGTAAAAATACTTCGTTTACAAGACTTCTTGTCACCTTGAAACTACTGTATTTTTTTTTTTTTTTTTAAGTGGAGACAAGCCGTCATCGCGTAAGTAACGGGATTTTGTTTTGTTCTCGTGCAGGCCACAAACTATGTGTTATCCCATCAAGAGGAAGATTCTGCCGGCGAAATCGAGACTAAGTTGATTAAAGTGAGTTTTGCTTGTCTCCAGTTGTTGAAGGGTGAATAACACCATCCAAGAAATACGCTCGAACAAAGCCTACTACGCTAATATGATCACTGGATAGTACTTTATCTGTTGGGTGATGCCATCCGCCCCGCTTTAAACAACCGTGCATGGACTTTTAAAAGAAGAGTAAAAATGAGCTCGAGTTAGCTTGTCTTGTAGCCTGCGAATACAGCCGCCTGTTATCGCTACCGGCCAGCTTGCACCAACCCAGCCGCTGGGAACGATCGAATGCGGTCTTATTCGCAGGCCTCTTGTTTTACATAGAGTTCTGTTTTTCACAATGATTACGGTATAGCTGCCGCATATTTTGAGCGTTGAAGGTGTGACATCCTCTGTCCAACTTGCTTCGCAAGTGTAAGACCACCGTAATTTTCACATTATAAAGAGTTTGCATACGGTATATATAATAGTTATTTGCTAGTTTGTTGTAAACAACGTCGCGAACCTGCTGTACCAATGTTGATGATGTATGTGAGTTTTTACCCCTGTAATGTTATCCGCAGGGAGACGTGTACAAAACTGTGGGAGGTGGTCATTGTATCCAGTTTACAGAAGTAGAGACTTTGAAAACAAGATCTGACGAACTAACAAGTCCAGGAAGGTACGTGCCAGGCTAACTTGTGGTGATAGAGTGCAGTCAAGATTTCAGACATTAAAAGTTACCTACTAGAGCTTAGTTCTATTCTACGGAAACTTTTCGTTGTCAAGCTTGAGTGTAATATTTCAGAAATATCGGGATAAGAGCTACTATTAACTTAATTGGCTCAATATTAAGGAGTAATGCAAAACACAGGACGTCTTCATATCCTTTATCCCCATATTTTTCAAGGTAGATAATTCAAATTGACAATCGGGTGACTAATTTACCATAACAAAGATCATGACGTGTTAACACGATATAACTAACATTCATTCAAGATACAGAAAAAGTCCAAAGCTGAAAGTTACGAGAAGATGTTTGGTCTTTATATTTTTTGTACACAAGGAAACTCTTGGCTTGGAAATGTATGGGAAAAAAGGCAAGAGCGATTTTGTTCTTCCTTGGAAAATCGTATGTTCGTAATGCAGTGCACGTGTATCTCTGTATTCTTGTGTCTTCTTCCCTTAACTCTTTGTTCTTGGAAACAGAAAACGCCGAGCGTCTGATTCGATCGATGATGAAAGTCATTCAAGCTGGACTGATGTAGAAACAAGGGTAAGTATCACGTGGTTGCCATGCCTCGGTCATCTTTTTGGATATTGTATTAAAAAATCTACAAACTTACGTGCAAACTCTCTTTTACTTTCAGTGTTCCACGGCAATTGAAGGCAGACCGGGCATGGGTCCAAGCTATTGTCACACAACATCAAAGTATGTATAGTAACAAATAGATGAATCGATAAACATCTCTTCCGTGCCATACATTTTTTTTTTTTTCAACCTGAAGAAACAATGTCTTGTTCATTGTGAAACCACAATGATCGTAACAAAATAGAAAACCTGTTTCCTAGATGTGCCTTGATCTTTTGAATGAGGTTTTTTTTCCTCTAGCTTGATTCTTTAAATATTTTAGTTGACTAGGGGGTGTGTTTCTTTGGTGTAAATCCAAGATTGGATTCTTAAATCCCAAAACGGATTTTGCGTTTCGTTCCAAAACAGATTAATCCAAGATCACTCGGATCACGGTACATCACTGGAATCGAAGAATCCTCACTCAGAGTAGACTCCTTCGATTCCTTTGATGTACCTTTATCTGAGTGATCTTTGATTAATCTGTTTAGTAAAGAAACTCAAAATCCGTTTTTAGATTTTAGAATTCAATCTTGGATTTTCCCAAAGAAACGCGCCCCTACTCCTAGGATAAGAAAGCGACGGAATTTACTTGGAGTTCCAGAGTCAGAATTTAGCGACATAGTCGAATCCTCGGCACAAGACCACCCAGTTTCATTGGTTTACGAGGTTTAATTTCACCGTGGTTGGGCGGTATCACAAAAAAGCATGTGATTTATAATTATGGTGATGGTTACTACAGAGGGTATATCTGTACTGGAAATAGCTGTCACATTTGGCGATAAGAAATCTTATCTAAGAGGCAGAAAACCTTACTTCCTTTTGCATTTATTCCTCAGGAAAAAGAAGCCTTGAAGAGGGACTTTCAACAGAAGTTGTGTTTCTTTGTTTAAGTGTCATACCTCCCAAGCGATGACGAAATTTAGATTATATAAGGAGTCTACTCCGACCAGACTCATGAATTGCACTCGCAAGTTATTTCGTCAAAACTATGAATGATGGGTGTTCACAGCATTCATTTCCCCGTTATTCAGATAAATAGTTTTAATGAACGCCACCAATGGTAATGTTCCATCGCCTCGAGAGTTCAAGAGCTGGATGTACAACTCGATATATTCGCAGTAACGGTGCTCTCATTTAGTGCTTTTGCTTGGAAAAATGATGGACTCTTATCAGTTAGCAATGTTCTGTTTTTTAATCGTTTGTTTTCATTTTAGTAACCTTTTTTTTTCATTGATAAGTAGTCTCTGTAAAAAGCCGTAGGTAATAATTAATAAATATATTTACATTTCGCTTGGTCTGGATTCTTTCGGCGCCTGATTTTTTGTTAGAATTAAGGCAACATTGAATGAATTATATGCAGTACTTAGTAGTAAGTAGGCCTGATAATGAAATTAAACCAATACGGTGTCGTCACCTCATGACTGTTTATTTTTCCCTTGGTTCAGTGTGTTTGTCCTTTTTGTTGGGTATCTTTTGGTTGAATTTTTAACTTCGCCCCAAGAACTACGGAAGTAAAACTGGAAAAAAAAATACAGTTGGACTTGGAACTTCCCATCTACCTTGAATAAACTTTTAAACTTTTAAATCTCGCTTGAATAAACTTTTTTCATTTATCTACTATCGGCCTTCATTATTTTTACAATAAAATATGCCTATTTTTAAGATCCGGACAAGGTTTACTCCCGTCGTTTGTGGCCCATGCTCAAAGAGTGCAGGTTATTTCACACAAATCAACGAAGAAACTGATTCAGTTGCACCTTTCAGTACAGAATGAGTAATTTCTATATCTTCTAAGTCAGGGAAACATTTCAAATGGGCTGCTTGTTCTGTAAAACTAGGCTGGAAAAATGAACCAGTCATTGACGATGCCGATGCTTTCTAAGAGTTAAAATAATTTTAAGACAACTTAGAAAGGTGACTTAAAACAGTTTTCAACACTTGATCCTACAATCATGGAATCAAAAAACCTGCCCAATCATTGGCAAACACATTGTTATCATTTTCATGACACAATAGGTTACCATAGCAACAGTATGAGTTGCTAAAAACACCCTTAATTACAGCTTTAGGAGCTTATAATTCAAAAACGGCACTGAAATTTTTCATATTACCAAATGTTGATAAGCAGGACAAGACGCCGCTTTTGGCAAAGTTTTAAAAAAATCTGTACATGGAGTTCAGAGCCACCTTAAAGATGATTTCTAGTCCGTACTGCACAGTCACAACACCCTAATACACCGAATGCATACAAAGATGAGATATTTCTATTTTTTAGTTACAAAGGGTACTTTGACACTCTTGTTTTTCACAAGGGTGTAAATTCAATTAGAGCTGACGAATCGTCACCACTCTTTCCCACGAGATGTTTGCTATCTTTAGTTACAAATGGTAACTTAAGAGTGTGTCCACGAGAAAACCAGTCAGAACCAGGCAGGAGGTGATACAGCTGAAATCACCAATTTCGCTCAAACTTGGCACAAATGTTGGGTTTGATGAGTGAATGATTGTGGCAAAACAGTAGGTCAAAATATTTTATTCCCTTCAAGTTAGGAGGACCCCCAGCAAAAATGGCCATTTGACACTAATTTATGCATATTTAATTAGCCATATCTGGTTTAGTATTTCTACAACAAGAAAAAGCATGTGAAAATGAAATCCACTAGAACATGTTGTGTAACTATCAGTCTAAAAGTACAGATATTCATTTCAACTGGGCAATTTGATTTCTGTCCGTGGCTTCATCTTGAGTAAGGTGCATATTGCGTAGTGTTGTGAATAACCTTTAATTGATGGCAAATATCTGCACTGGGCAACAGCAAGTACACATTATTCTAACATGGATAGTGAGAGCAATCAACAAAGTTCTCAAAAAAGCCATAAAATGTTTGGGGACTTATATTCTGTGCTGGTGTACTGTTTACATAGAACTTAACCATTTAGGGCCATTTCATGAACATCCACTAAAACACAAAAGCCTTTTCTCTGTCCTAACCTAACTCGAAATCAACAAGAAATAACTAGCTAAGCATTTTCCTATCAATTACGAGTAAAAATTGGGCGAAAAGAAGCACTTGAGACACTTCTTTCAAATATTTTCGGAGCTATATCCGCTATATCTTGAGGCATATCGATGTGAATACTGCAGCAGATGATTCAACTCACAAGCTCAGACGCTCTGACAGTATTCTACAATAACCACTGGGATCGGACTTAAGATTACAAACAGAACAATTATCCGCATAGACATTACGAGTAGTGGAACAATATCAGTTTATAATCCTGTTGTAAATATGATTCCTTGAAAAGCAAACTTACCTGGCGTTTTGCTTTCGTGGTTTCTCTACACTAACGATCTTTCCGTTGTTCACGGTAAGCCAACCGGTAAGCCCATCGATTAAAGATTCATTCAATAAAATAGTAATCTGTGAGGTACTACGTGGTGTTAGATAAAGATATTTCATTTTTATGGCAAGTAAAGACAGCAAAGACACTTTAATTCACTTATCGCCCGCCATTTTGAATTTAAACTGCGCACGTCAACGGTGACTGACAAATGAGCCTCGGTCTTCCCAGGGAAGACTTCTTTATATAGCGCGCCTTCGATTGTAAGCCTCGCTTGTATGCAACTTCCGGTTTTTCCTGGAATCGGTGTAAAATTTCCATGTAAATCCAACTCTGACATTTAAGCTAAGCCGTTATCGATTTGAAATGGATGTTCCAACTCTGATGCATAACCTGACGGAAGAATTAATTTGTTCTGTGTGCATGCAGTTGTACAGAGAACCAAAACGGCTGCCATGTTTACACGTTTTGTGCCTCGAATGTCTGAACAATGTAACGAGCTGTCCGCTATGTCAGGATGAAGTGGTTGTTCCCGAAAGCGGCACCATGGAAACTCTGCCTAGCTGTTATTACTTGAAGAATCTGCTGGATATTTTGGCCGTCACGGAAAGCAGCAGTTCAAAAGTATCTTGCGGGAAGTGCGAGTACAGAGAAGAAGAAGAAGCATCTTTTTATTGTTTTTGCTGTGGCGGATTCTGGTGTAATGATTGCATTCTTGGAGCTGACAGATCTAGAGGTCACCGCGTTCTTGGGCTGGAAGATTTTCGAGAAAAAGATCTTGAAGTCATTCTCAAGCGACCGGCACTTTGTCAGAACATGGTTAATAGGGGAAGAAGAGGTCAGAAGAAGGTTCATTGTAACGAGGTGCTAAAGTTTTATTGTAAAGAGTGCAAAATCCCTGTGTGTCAGGATTGCGCGAGAGTTAAGCATTGCAAGCACGAAATGGAATATTTGGATGTGACAGCAGCAGCGATGAAGCAAACCGTAACCGATCGATTAGATGCTGCAGAAAAAGAAACACGAACTGTCTCCGACTCCTTGCGAGAATTGGAGGAGGAATCTCGAGAAATTGAAGAGCGTTCCCAGTTTGTCAAAAGTCAAATTCAAATCGCAGTCAAAATGCTTATCCGAAATCTTCAGCAGCAGGAAAAGGAATTGATTGCGGAAGTTGAAAAGGAGACAAAACTAGAACAAGATCGCGTGACAAGGGAGCAAACGGAAGTGAGGGACCATCTGAATGAGATTGAAGACGGTATGTCGCGAGCGAGGCATTTCATTGATTGCAGCACGGCAGCCGATCTCGTGGAAGCAGGACCGTTTGTGAGCAAGCTGTTGCAAGATCTACCGACAACAGAATTTGTCGCGTCCGCAACTCCTCGCATTGTCTTCTTGGAAAACATGGCTTTAACTAATATTGTGCAAAACGATCGAATCGGTCGCCTTGACAAAAGCCCCACAAAAGCAAATCAGTGTACCATGGAAAGCCTTGACAAAGTCACCGCTGGATTGGAAGCAAGGTTTCAACTAGTAACTCGGAATTCCGAAGGGAAACAGTCTTATTCTCCTGGTGATCGTATTGTTGTGGACTTGGCCTCAACAGAAGATGGAACACTCTCAGCGGAGATGAAAGTTGTGGATGGGAACAATGGCAGTTACGAAGTTTCTTGCATTCCAAAACGAAAAGGGGAACATAAATTTTCGGCGTTTGTAAACGGTGAAGAAATCAGCAATCTTTCCCCGGTTCACGTCAAGAAAAGATCCTACAAACTTTTGCGAACTGTCGGTGGCAAGGGTACTGGAGCGGGAGAGTTGAATGCCCCATGGGGGGTTGCTGTTACTGGTCGAAATGAGATTTTTGTGTGTGATAACGGTAATGATAGACTCCAAGTGTTTGATGAAGAAGGAAACTTCATCAGAGCAATTGAACATGAGCTGTTAACTGGCCCAAGAGGGATATGCATAGATAGTGCTGGCTGGATTTATGTAACAGCTCAGAATAAGATTCTTCTGCTTAATCCGGAGGGAGAATATGCCAAAGAGATTAGTTATGAGGTAAATAAAGGTGTGTACTGGAGTGGAATCACCTTGGATGAACAGGGAAATATCATTGTATGTTACAATGGAATCCATATTCTTTCTCCAGAAGGAAAGCTCTTAAAGGAAATTAGTGCAGAGACCTTTTTCGATCCATTTGACTGCATGTACTGGGAGGGGAAAATATTCGTGTCAAACTGGGCGACCAATACAGTTGACGTTTTGGGCTGCGATGGAAAGTTACTTCAAGAAATTGGAAAACAGGGCTCTGGAAATGCAGAATTCAGCCGACCTACGGGACTAGCAATCAACAAAACGGGACAGCTTGTAGTGGCTGACGACAGCGGAGTTCAAGTATTCACTGCAGATGGAATGTTTGTCACCAAGTTTGGAATTTTCGTACTCTCCAATCCTTATGGTGTGTCTGTAAGCAATAGTGGTCGTGTAATTGTTTCTGACGGGGACGAAGACCAATTACAATTTTTTTAAAGTACTTTAAAAAGTAAACAGTAGAGTACGTTGCATCGCTGACATGAGCAGTGAGTCGTACACTTTTTTAAGCTGTACTTTTTGACTAGGACACTCCATTAGAGATCTATCGGTGTATCTGGAAAGACTGAATTCACTGTTTGGTACCGATATCTATTTAAAAAGTACAGTGGAACAGTTACAGAGTATGAAATACCATTCAGCGTCTTAGAGAACATATTTTCGCTCATCAACTACCTAATTCGTGATAAAATCTAAAAACGTTCTCAGATAATCGAACACAAGCTTTCGATTGTCTTAACGTACTACAGTCCTCAACGGGCGAAATGGTATGAAAGCGCTAAAATTTCTAAAATGAAGTGTGATAAAAGACAATAGAATAAAATACGTTAGAATATGGTTGCGAATTTTTGTTAAAAATGAATGCTATATTGTCCTGGGAGTGGACAATACACACCTAATTCTTGGCTGAAAACATTTTTTCTGTTCATTTGTGTAAAGAATACTGATCGAAAATATCAATTTGTGGATTTTTTAGTGCTTGTGTGAGAAAAAAAAAGGTTTAGCAAAACTAAGTTCCATCAAGAGAAGATAAACTTGAGGTTATTTTCAGGTGTTTCCAAATATTTGAGAGATGTATTTTTTGTAATGTACGCATCATGGATAGTAATGTAGGCTTTCTAGTGTTAATAGCGTAGGTATCATACTGTAACTGTAACTATCGTGTTTTAGGGAATGTTTAAGAAAAGAAGAAACAAAAGAGTTTCTGTGTTTCTTTCGAGTTTTAGCAATATATTTAGTACAACTTCTGCAAACGTTGCCGGCAACCTGATTGGCCGAGCCATCAAACACCACCAGCCATTAGTGTCCAGTCGCTTGATGACAATTTTTTTCTCGTTTCAACGAAGTTTTGAACGACCATTTCGAAACTTAGCTTTGGATAACAAATAAATTGTAAATGTTGTAGCAGAAACTAAAGGTAAACACTCGAGACAGCTACCTCATATTGTATTTTCTACTTTGTGGTGTTGCTAGCATTTGTGGTGTAACAGTTTTCAATATGGTTCCACTTATCAAATTGAAACATTCTGAGGGCATGCCCAATTGATTCTACATCCCCTCCCCCTTGAAAAATCCTGGATTCGCCCCTTCAATTAAATTGTTGAAACTGATGAGCGCGCGTGCACAACTGCAAAGNACGAAGAAACTGATTCAGTTGCACCTTTCAGTACAGAATGAGTAATTTCTATATCTTCTAAGTCAGGGAAACATTTCAAATGGGCTGCTTGTTCTGTAAAACTAGGCTGGAAAAATGAACCAGTCATTGACGATGCCGATGCTTTCTAAGAGTTAAAATAATTTTAAGACAACTTAGAAAGGTGACTTAAAACAGTTTTCAACACTTGATCCTACAATCATGGAATCAAAAAACCTGCCCAATCATTGGCAAACACATTGTTATCATTTTCATGACACAATAGGTTACCATAGCAACAGTATGAGTTGCTAAAAACACCCTTAATTACAGCTTTAGGAGCTTATAATTCAAAAACGGCACTGAAATTTTTCATATTACCAAATGTTGATAAGCAGGACAAGACGCCGCTTTTGGCAAAGTTTTAAAAAAATCTGTACATGGAGTTCAGAGCCACCTTAAAGATGATTTCTAGTCCGTACTGCACAGTCACAACACCCTAATACACCGAATGCATACAAATATGAGATATTTCTATTTTTTAGTTACAAAGGGTACTTTGACACTCTTGTTTTTCACAAGGGTGTAAATTCAATTAGAGCTGACGAATCGTCACCACTCTTTCCCACGAGATGTTTGCTATCTTTAGTTACAAATGGTAACTTAAGAGTGTGTCCACGAGAAAACCAGTCAGAACCAGGCAGGAGGTGATACAGCTGAAATCACCAATTTCGCTCAAACTTGGCACAAATGTTGGGTTTGATGAGTGAATGATTGTGGCAAAACAGTAGGTCAAAATATTTTATTCCCTTCAAGTTAGGAGGACCCCCAGCAAAAATGGCCATTTGACACTAATTTATGCATATTTAATTAGCCATATCTGGTTTAGTATTTCTACAACAAGAAAAAGCATGTGAAAATGAAATCCACTAGAACATGTTGTGTAACTATCAGTCTAAAAGTACAGATATTCATTTCAACTGGGCAATTTGATTTCTGTCCGTGGCTTCATCTTGAGTAAGGTGCATATTGCGTAGTGTTGTGAATAACCTTTAATTGATGGCAAATATCTGCACTGGGCAACAGCAAGTACACATTATTCTAACATGGATAGTGAGAGCAATCAACAAAGTTCTCAAAAAAGCCATAAAATGTTTGGGGATTTATATTCTGTGCTGGTGTACTGTTTACATAGAACTTAACCATTTAGGGCCATTTCATGAACATCCACTAAAACACAAAAGCCTTTTCTCTGTCCTAACCTAACTCGAAATCAACAAGAAATAACTAGCTAAGCATTTTCCTATCAATTACGAGTAAAAATTGGGCGAAAAGAAGCACTTGAGACACTTCTTTCAAATATTTTCGGAGCTATATCCGCTATATCTTGAGGCATATCGATGTGAATACTGCAGCAGATGATTCAACTCACAAGCTCAGACGCTCTGACAGTATTCTACAATAACCACTGGGATCGGACTTAAGATTACAAACAGAACAATTATCCGCATAGACATTACGAGTAGTGGAACAATATCAGTTTATAATCCTGTTGTAAATATGATTCCTTGAAAAGCAAACTTACCTGGCGTTTTGCTTTCGTGGTTTCTCTACACTAACGATCTTTCCGTTGTTCACGGTAAGCCAACCGGTAAGCCCATCGATTAAAGATTCATTCAATAAAATAGTAATCTGTGAGGTACTACGTGGTGTTAGATAAAGATATTTCATTTTTATGGCAAGTAAAGACAGCAAAGACACTTTAATTCACTTATCGCCCGCCATTTTGAATTTAACCTGCGCACGTCAACGGTGACTGACAAATGAGCCTCGGTCTTCCCAGGGAAGACTTCTTTATATAGCGCGCCTTCGATTGTAAGCCTCGCTTGTATGCAACTTCCGGTTTTTCCTGGAATCGGTGTAAAATTTACATGTAAATCCAACTCTGACATTTAAGCTAAGCCGTTATCGATTTGAAATGGATGTTCCAACTCTGATGCATAACCTGACGGAAGAATTAATTTGTTCTGTGTGCATGCAGTTGTACAGAGAACCAAAACGGCTGCCATGTTTACACGTTTTGTGCCTCGAATGTCTGAACAATGTAACGAGCTGTCCGCTATGTCAGGATGAAGTGGTTGTTCCCGAAAGCGGCACCATGGAAACTCTGCCTAGCTGTTATTACTTGAAGAATCTGCTGGATATTTTGGCCGTCACGGAAAGCAGCAGTTCAAAAGTATCTTGCGGGAAGTGCGAGTACAGAGAAGAAGAAGAAGCATCTTTTTATTGTTTTTGCTGTGGCGGATTCTGGTGTAATGATTGCATTCTTGGAGCTGACAGATCTAGAGGTCACCGCGTTCTTGGGCTGGAAGATTTTCGAGAAAAAGATCTTGAAGTCATTCTCAAGCGACCGGCACTTTGTCAGAACATGGTTAATAGGGGAAGAAGAGGTCAGAAGAAGGTTCATTGTAACGAGGTGCTAAAGTTTTATTGTAAAGAGTGCAAAATCCCTGTGTGTCAGGATTGCGCGAGAGTTAAGCATTGCAAGCACGAAATGGAATATTTGGATGTGACAGCAGCAGCGATGAAGCAAACCGTAACCGATCGATTAGATGCTGCAGAAAAAGAAACACGAACTGTCTCCGACTCCTTGCGAGAATTGGAGGAGGAATCTCGAGAAATTGAAGAGCGTTCCCAGTTTGTCAAAAGTCAAATTCAAATCGCAGTCAAAATGCTTATCCGAAATCTTCAGCAGCAGGAAAAGGAATTGATTGCGGAAGTTGAAAAGGAGACAAAACTAGAACAAGATCGCGTGACAAGGGAGCAAACGGAAGTGAGGGACCATCTGAATGAGATTGAAGACGGTATGTCGCGAGCGAGGCATTTCATTGATTGCAGCACGGCAGCCGATCTCGTGGAAGCAGGACCGTTTGTGAGCAAGCTGTTGCAAGATCTACCGACAACAGAATTTGTCGCGTCCGCAACTCCTCGCATTGTCTTCTTGGAAAACATGGCTTTAACTAATATTGTGCAAAACGATCGAATCGGTCGCCTTGACAAAAGCCCCACAAAAGCAAATCAGTGTACCATGGAAAGCCTTGACAAAGTCACCGCTGGATTGGAAGCAAGGTTTCAACTAGTAACTCGGAATTCCGAAGGGAAACAGTCTTATTCTCCTGGTGATCGTATTGTTGTGGACTTGGCCTCAACAGAAGATGGAACACTCTCAGCGGAGATGAAAGTTGTGGATGGGAACAATGGCAGTTACGAAGTTTCTTGCATTCCAAAACGAAAAGGGGAACATAAATTTTCGGCGTTTGTAAACGGTGAAGAAATCAGCAATCTTTCCCCGGTTCACGTCAAGAAAAGATCCTACAAACTTTTGCGAACTGTCGGTGGCAAGGGTACTGGAGCGGGAGAGTTGAATGCCCCATGGGGGGTTGCTGTTACTGGTCGAAATGAGATTTTTGTGTGTGATAACGGTAATGATAGACTCCAAGTGTTTGATGAAGAAGGAAACTTCATCAGAGCAATTGAACATGAGCTGTTAACTGGCCCAAGAGGGATATGCATAGATAGTGCTGGCTGGATTTATGTAACAGCTCAGAATAAGATTCTTCTGCTTAATCCGGAGGGAGAATATGCCAAAGAGATTAGTTATGAGGTAAATAAAGGTGTGTACTGGAGTGGAATCACCTTGGATGAACAGGGAAATATCATTGTATGTTACAATGGAATCCATATTCTTTCTCCAGAAGGAAAGCTCTTAAAGGAAATTAGTGCAGAGACCTTTTTCGATCCATTTGACTGCATGTACTGGGAGGGGAAAATATTCGTGTCAAACTGGGCGACCAATACAGTTGACGTTTTGGGCTGCGATGGAAAGTTACTTCAAGAAATTGGAAAACAGGGCTCTGGAAATGCAGAATTCAGCCGACCTACGGGACTAGCAATCAACAAAACGGGACAGCTTGTAGTGGCTGACGACAGCGGAGTTCAAGTATTCACTGCAGATGGAATGTTTGTCACCAAGTTTGGAATTTTCGTACTCTCCAATCCTTATGGTGTGTCTGTAAGCAATAGTGGTCGTGTAATTGTTTCTGACGGGGACGAAGACCAATTACAATTTTTTTAAAGTACTTTAAAAAGTAAACAGTAGAGTACGTTGCATCGCTGACATGAGCAGTGAGTCGTACACTTTTTTAAGCTGTACTTTTTGACTAGGACACTCCATTAGAGATCTATCGGTGTATCTGGAAAGACTGAATTCACTGTTTGGTACCGATATCTATTTAAAAAGTACAGTGGAACAGTTACAGAGTATGAAATACCATTCAGCGTCTTAGAGAACATATTTTCGCTCATCAACTACCTAATTCGTGATAAAATCTAAAAACGTTCTCAGATAATCGAACACAAGCTTTCGATTGTCTTAACGTACTACAGTCCTCAACGGGCGAAATGGTATGAAAGCGCTAAAATTTCTAAAATGAAGTGTGATAAAAGACAATAGAATAAAATACGTTAGAATATGGTTGCGAATTTTTGTTAAAAATGAATGCTATATTGTCCTGGGAGTGGACAATACACACCTAATTCTTGGCTGAAAACATTTTTTCTGTTCATTTGTGTAAAGAATACTGATCGAAAATATCAATTTGTGGATTTTTTAGTGCTTGTGTGAGAAAAAAAAAGGTTTAGCAAAACTAAGTTCCATCAAGAGAAGATAAACTTGAGGTTATTTTCAGGTGTTTCCAAATATTTGAGAGATGTATTTTTTGTAATGTACGCATCATGGATA